CCATTTACTTCTGATTTAAGAGAACCAAAAATTTTCAGACGGGCATGGTGGCTCACACCTGTAGTCCCAGCACTTTGGGAGGCTGAGATGGGAGGATCACGAGGTCAGGAGATCGAGACCACCCTACCAAGGTGAAACCCCATCTCTACTAAAGATACAAAAAAGATTAGCCAGGCGTGGAGGTGGCGGGCGCCTGTAGTCCCAGCTACTCGGGAGGCTGAGGCAGGAGAATGGCGTGAACCCGGGAGGCGGAGCTTGCAGTCAGCCGAATAGCGCCACCGCACTCCAGCCTGGGTGACAGAACGAGACTCCGTCTCAGGAAAAAAAAAAAAAATAGAGAGAGAGAACTAAGAATTTTCAGTGGTGGGGACTTGGGGAAGAGAGATGAATGTAAGTCTATAAAGCATGATCACAAAATATGAACGGAGCTGAGAAACATAACGTTTTAACTATCAGCGTTTTTGTTGAATGGGCCTGCATAGTACTAGGTTATAAAGAAATAAAAGAACTACCCGGAATACAGCGCAGTAGTATCTTGGTCCCAGACCTGCTGAAGGTGTGACGGTAGCAAAGTGAAAGGTTTCTGTGCACGTGCTCGTGATCCGTGCTGCAGGGCAGCGTGTCTTTGACACGACTACCTCTCCAGGCCAGTCTAGTGAAACGCCGTGTGGCAGCCGGACGTGTGAGGCTACCCGTGGGTCACCTTTGAGCATCCCACGGAGCAATGACTCGAGATTACAAAATGAAGGAAAACACGGGTGTCGTTCCTCAGCTGAGACACGAAACAACTCTCACGTCTAGGTACCAATATGCCACAGGATTCCCTTTTTAGACATGTTTTTAAGATGTACTTCCCCATCCCTCCCACGATCGAAGGGCTCTGCTTGAAAATTAAATTCAACTTATGTTTTCAGAATTTGCTTTTCGGTGAATTTCTTCTCTTCTCTTCTCTCTCTCTTTCTTTTTTTCTTTCCTCCGTCACCCAGGCTGGAGTGCAGTGGCGTGATCTTGGCTCACTGCAACCTCTGCCTCCTGGGTTCAAGTGATTCTCCTGCCTCAGCCTCCCAGCCTCCCGAGTAGCTAGGATTATAGGCACCCACCACCACACCTGACTAATTTTTATTTTATTTTTTTTGAGACAGTCTTGCTCTGTTGCCCAGGCTGGAGTGCAGTAACGCAATCTCAGCTCACTGCAACCTCTGCCTCCCGGGTTCAAGCGATTCTCCTGCTTCAGCCTCCCAGGTACCTAGGATCACAGGTGCCCACCACCACACCTGGCTAATTTTTTTGTATTTTTAGTAGAGATGGGGCTCCGCTGTGTTAGCCAGGATAGTCTCGATCTCCTTGATCTCGTGATCTGCCTGCCTCAGCCTCCCAAAGTGCTGGGATTACAGGTGTGGGCCACTGCGCCCAGTCACACCTGGCTAATTTTTGTATTTTTAGTAGAGATGGGGTTTTGCCATGTTGGCCAGGCTGGTCTCAAACTCCTAACCTCAGGTCATTCATCCACCACAGCCTCCCAAAGTGCTGGGATTATAGGCATGAGCCACCGTGCCTAGCATTCTCGGTGAATGTCAAGATACATATTGAAATAAATGGGCACAGTGGCTCACTCCTGTAATCCAAGCCCTTTGGGAGGCCAAGGTGGGCGGATCACGAGGTCAGGAGTTCGAGACGAGCCTGACCAACATGGTGAAACCCCGTCTCTACTAAAAATACAAAAATTAGCCGGGCATAGTGGTGCACACCTGTAATCCCAGCTAAGGAGGTGAGGCAGGGGAATCGTTTGAACCTGGGAGGCGAAGGTTGCAGTGAGCGGAGATCGCGCCATTGCATGACAGAGGGAGACTGTCTCAAAAAAAAAAAAAAAAAAAAAAAAAAGAAATGACCTGAGAGCATAGGGTCTTCCAAAATCTAGTAATCCAAGTCAGGTATTTTAGTATTCCATAGAATGAGATCATCCTTCCTTTTATATGTAAACAAAGTTACACAGTGACTGACTTTTCATGTCAAATATAAAATAAAGACGACAATATTCTGGACTCAGAATGTCAGAGCAATGGCCAGGTAAGTTCTTTCACAGGACGATCAACAGGCTTTTGGTAACTTTCACAACTCATGGACACTTTCCTGGTGAGTAAAGTAACACATTAAATCCAACAGCCGGTGCAGTGGCTCATGCCTGTAATCCCAGCACTTCGGGAGGCTGAGGTGGGCAGATCACCTGAAGTCAGCAGTTCAAGACCAGCCTGGCGAACATGGTGAAACCGCATCTCTGTCAAAAATATAAAAAATTAGCCGGGTGTGGTGGCGGGCGCCTGTAATCCCAGGTATTCGGGAGGCTGAGGCAGGAGAATTGCTTGAACCCGGAGGGCGGAGGTTGCAGTGAGCCGAGATCGTGCCACTACAATCCAGCCTGAGCAACAGATCGAGACTACGTCTCAATAAATAAATAAATAAATAAATAAATAAAAACAAAAAATCCAAACCTCCCCTCTCATATGTCCGTTAGGCCAGGCTCACCAGCGAGAAACGATTCAGCTCTGGCTGGTTGGTTAGAAATGAATGTCGACACGAATCAAAGATCTCGTTCTTCTGCAATACCGATCAATTTGTTTCCTTCCCTGGGAATGAGGGGGCGGTATGAATTTCCAAGGAAAAAGGCTCATTTTTGGTCTTTTATCTTAAGCAGGCAAACAGTTGGGTGCTGGGCACATCCCTGGCGGATGCCCTTCACAGCTAGTTCCCAGGTACGGGCAGGGACCTTGCATGGCTGTGGTTACCCAGGGCTGGCAGGGGCAGTCGGAGCTCCTTCCATTTCCCACAACTGCCTGGCCACCTAGATCTAAAACGCAGAGAGAGGACGTGCAGGGGGTGGCCCTGGAGTTACAAAGCTGCCCCCGAAGCCTGCTGGACGGCACACGGGTGGAGGGAAGGACATTTCTCCATTCAGGTGTTACATGTGGGGCGGAGAGATCCGGCCACCAGCTCGGGAATCCAAAAATCAGGTTGAAAAGCAAGGCTTCCTCACGTTTCTGTGAAAGGGACTGCTGGGTTCAGCGTCCACATGAAACAAATCCCAACTAGTTGAATACACACTGATTTTCAAGAATGGGTAAGACAGATGGGGAAATGTATATATATATTTCCCCATCTGTCTTACTAGTACATATACATTTGTATTGGGATATATATACACACACACATATATAGATATATATATAAATTTATATGGTTGGTACCAGCGGAAGAAAAATGAAGATAAAACTAAAACCCAACTTAAATGTCCCATCCTATGAAACATCTCCCTGGGAAAAATTATTCTCAAGTAAACTTTTATTCTCTGGGCACATTCTTAGGAGTTTACACTGGCTTCTGAAACTTCCTAACCAGCCCCTACCCTCTGACTTCCTCTGGTTGCACTGAACGGGGGGCCTGCTAACCGTGCCTCAGTTCGCTCTTCTCAGTAGACAAAGGGTCCTTGCTCTCAAAACATGAATGCTCTAACCTCAGGCAGGGATGTAGAGACACACCTGTGCAAGGGCCCACTGGGACTGTGCATTTATCTGGGAATTCATTTCCTGGGGAGAAGGAAAGGTGATGGGAAGGCTGGCTAGGGAAAGGTTAGGGAACAGGAGCCCAAAACTCCCCAGAGGCCTGGGGGGGAAAGGGCACCCAGAAACTTAAACGAAAGGCAAGTTTTGAATCTGGTTGTTGATAACAAGAATCGAAATGCCTTAGGCCCTGTGTGGGAAACCCACCGCACAGAGGAGCCGTCTTCAGGAAAGGCCCTGTTGCATTTCACGTGGCATGCCCCGGATCTCTTGCCCTAACAGTGGCTCAAAAAAAATGCAACAGGGTAATGATGTTTTGGGCTCTAAGGGTCTCCGCAAAGACTCATCCCCCTCATAAGCAGATTCTAGCCTCTGGGTTTCACCGCCAGCCTATCCCGAGCAGTGCTTGGCCCAACACCCTGCCCCGGGGTGAGCGGGCTTACAAACCGCTCACGCGTGAAGGTTACGTAAAAGCAAGCCGCCCAGCTCCCCTGCAGGCAGGCGGAGGGACAAACAGCACTGCTGGGACCCTGCTTGGCCATGGAGAAAGGACACACGGCCTGGGTGAGTCCCCGAATCACTGTACTGAGTGGAAGAGGTCATAGGAAACCACGTATGCACTGCAGGAGGCCATTATGCAAAGCTCTAGAAAATGCAAATCAACCTACAGTGACAGAAGGCAGATCAGTGGTTACCTGGGGACAGGTGGGGCAAGGAGGGGTCAGAGGGGGGTTACACAGGGCACAGGGAACTCTGGGGTCTGGGCATCTACACTGCTTGGACTGCAGGGATGGCTTCAGGTGTTCATACATATTTCAAAACTCATCAAATTGTACTCCTTAAGTATGTACAGTTCAGGGTATATCAATGATACTGCAATAAAATTCTCACCCATAGAAAGAAAAGAAAAAGCAGCCCAAGGCGAAAAAGTCGATCCTGTGCCCTGAGCACAGGCAGTTCTGAGGTAAGACCGATTTCCCACCAGGCTCTTCTTGGCCTTTCGAGAACTTCACCCCCTCTCTGCTGTTTCCTGTTGCTGGCATCCACTTTCCCATCTCACAATATTTTCTCCTGTCTGGTCTCCTGTATCTGAAACCCACTGCTACAGGATCCCCCCACTTTCTGGAAAATGTTCATTAAACAGGAAACAAACCCACCCTTTAAGCATCTACCTTTCTTGCATCAAGCTGAGTAACTCACCGTCTGCCCTTACGTGCAGGCAGCTCAGCTAGACTGCCCACAGCCGCACTGTCCAGTATGGAAGCCCTGGCCACATGTTTACATTAATTAAAATAAAACACAGCCGGGTATGGTGGCATGAGCCTGTAGTCCCAGCTAATCGGGAGGCTGAGGTGGGAGGATTGCTTCGGTCCAGGAGTTTGATACCAGCCTGGGCAACATGGCAAGACCTCATCTCTAAAATAAGTAAATACAACTAAAAACCCAGTTCCTCAGTTCCATGAGTCACACCTAAAATGCTCAATGGCCCTATATGGCCAGCAGCTACTGAAGTAGACAGCACCAAATACAACATTTCCATCATCCCAGAATGTTCTGTCAGACAGAAAGGCTGCTCCAAAGAGACAGTCCTTGACCTTCAGGAACTGCACAGTTCGGTGAGATGTGCGCAGAGGCAGGGGAAGGCCGGCTTCCCCTTATCCACACACACAGATGACCAGCATCTCCGGGTGTGCCGAGAGAAACAACAGGCTCAGGCTGAATGAACCAGAGGGTGCCGGCCCCTTGTTGGCAGGGAACGGCTTAAGTTGTGGAAGCCGGGAGAGAGGCCTGGTGGGGGCCCAGTTCCCCAGGCAGGGGCGGGCAGGGTGGGTGATGGCGGCTTCTCTGCAGGTGCAATGGGGAGGCAGACACCAGCAAATCAGGCAGGGACGGGAACTGGCCAGGTAAACCCCGAGAGTGGGGTGGGGGGAGGTGGTCTAGCTGGCAGGAGCTGCAGGTCTGCAGGACGGGGGGCGGCCAGAAGACCAGAGGCAGGTGAGGCTGGTGACAGGTGGGCCGGGTGGGGGATCACCTGGGGGAGACAGCCTCACTCTGTCCACCCAGTGTCCTGGCCCACCTTGTCACTCAGATCCCCTCATGTTATCGGCGTCTGAGACGTCCAGTCTGCCTCAGGAGAGCAATCAGCTAATGCTCCTGCCTGGAATCCAGCCTAGCACTCAGAGACCAGCTATGCTTTGTGAGGGTTCTCTGGGCTGGCGAAGTGGCGGGGGTGGGAGTGGCCAGGAGACCCTGGGATGGTGGTGACTGGAAGCAGAAAGCAGCAAAGGAGATGAAAAGTGGGGGCATTAAAGAACTCCTGAGGCCAAAAGAACAGCAGGACCTAGTGGCAGATGGACACTCAGGGTGACAAGGGGAGCTCGGGACCCCAACTTTCTTTCTTTTTTTGAGATGGAGTCTCCCTCTATCGCCCAGGCTGGAGTGCAGTGGCATTTCGATCTCGGCTCACTGCAACCTCCGCCTCCTGTGTTCAAGCAATTCTCCTGCCTTAGCCTTCCAAGTAGCTGGGATTATAGGCGTGCACCACCACACCCAGCTAATTTTTGTATTTTTAGTAGAAACGAGGTTTCACCATACTGGCCAGGCTGGTCTCAAACTCCTTACCTCATGATCCACCCGCCTTAGCCTTTCAAAGTGTTGGGATTACAGGCGTGAGCCACTGCGCCTGGCTTTGGGAGCCCAACTTTCAACAGAGCAAAGGAAAACAAGTCCAGAGAGCCGGCACTCCATGCAGCTCCTGGCGATCTTCTGCAGTGATTTTCATGCACTAACAGCTCATCCTCCCGCCCTGATAATAAATGGGAACCTGGGGAAAGGGACCCATCCAAAAATCTTGTGCCCCTCACCTCATGCCCATCTGGCACAGATTAAGGATCTAGCAGGCTCTGCACGCCATGGGTCTTCCTGCTGAGGCCTGAGGACGTGCCCCATGTCTGGTCCCCAGGGCCCATCAGCCAGACCGAGGCACAGCTGCAAAGTGACTGACGCAATGGTCAAGGTCACAAAGAGCAGAGAATGAAGGGCCACCGCAGAACATAGGACACAACAAGAACACAGGGACCCCTGAGCCCCTCACACAGCCAGAGAAAGCAGTGTGGGAAGACGCCCGCACTTGGGACGCTGGGTGAGGAGTGTTAATTCTGCAACCTTTCTAGACATTATTTCAAAACAGTTTTTAAAAACTTAAAAATCAAACAGATATTTCATTTAGAAATCTTAATTTTGGAAGAACTGACTTCTCTCAGCTCTCGGCCCTGTCTGACTGCTGCCAGTGTGGTCCAGGAGCTCCCGCAGCAGAGGGGCAGAGGGGCAGGCTGCGCCCAGCAGCCTCCAGGCCACTTTGGCCTCTGTCCCGTGTTCCCTCTGGCTAGCAGGTACCTCCTTCTCCATGGTTCCTACAAGTATTTGTTCCACTTTTAGGGAGACTGCTGTACTCCTGGTGAGTGGTGCTGCTACACCAGACCAGCTTTCAGAGGCACCTAGGAAAGGCAGCTCTGGTGGCCCCATTTTGATAGCTTCATTTTAAAAACATTTTTATTTTTATTTTTTTGAGATGGAGTCTCTCTCTGTCGCCCAGGCTGGAGTGCAGTGGCCGGATCTCAGCTCACTGCAAGCTCCGCCTCCCGGGTTCACGCCATTCTCCTGCCTCAGCCTCCTGAGTAGCTGGGACTACAGGCGCCCTGTTTTTTGTATTTTTAGTAGAGACGGGGTTTCACCGTGTTAGCCAGGATGGTCTCGATCTCCTGACCTCGTGATCCACCCGTCTCGGCCTCCCAAAGTGCTGGGATTACAGGCTTGAGCCACCGCGCCCGGCCTAAAAAACATTTTTAAAAAAACTGTTCTTAATATCATAACACGGCAGGAGAAGAAATCACACACTCTGGCCAAGCAGTGGTGAATTTACTATTCGTCATATGAAAAACAAAAATAAAAATTCCTGATGCATCTTAATTCATTTATGGAAAAAACTTCCTGCAGATCATCTGGGGCGGAGGAAGAAAAAAAAAAAGAGGAAAAAATGGCAGACTGATCATCTCTGTAGAGCAGGATGATGGTATTTGTTTTCTCCAGCTGAATCCTACCCAAATACTCTAGGAAATGAATGAAATTTATTTATTTATTTATTTAGAGACAGAGTCTCACTCTTGTCGCCCAGGCTGGAGTGCAGTGGTGTGATCTCGGTTCACCGGAACATCATCCTCCCAGGTTCAAGTGATTCTCCTGCCTCAGCCTCCCGAGTAGCTGGGACTGCAGGCGCCGCCACCACATCCGGTTAATTTTTTTTTCTTTTGTTTTTTTAGTAGGGACGGGGTTTTGCCAGGTTGGCCAGGCTAGTCTCGAACTCCTGACCTGAGATGAGGAGGTCAGGAGTTCAATGTCAAATGTTGGGAAGCTGAGGTGGGAGGATTGCTTGAGTCCAGGAGTTTGAGACCAGCCTGGGCAACATGGTGAGACCTCATCTCTTGCCTGCCTCAGCCTCCCAAAGTGCTGGGATTACAGATGTGAGCCACTGTGCCCGGCTGATAACTTTTATTTAACTAGGAAAAAGTAAGTTTTGGATAAAACTGTCTTTCCTTGCATCCTTTCCTTACATAGCATCAAATGCTGAATGATCAGCAAACATCATGATCTGGTCTTGTTGAGAGAACACCCACTCCAGCTGCCGCCATGAGCCTGGGGGCTGTTACCAGCAGCAGTTTCTTTAGGGTTAAGAAGATTTTAAGGCAAATAATGACTCCTAATACTCACATGTCATCGCTCACACCTTATTTCTCCTCTTGTGAGCTAAGCGGTTGATCACTATGGGCTAAGGGCTCTTTGCTGCCCGGGTAAGCACGGCAAACGTGGTGGCTCTGCACAGCCTCCTCTGGAGCTGCACCGGACGGCGCATGTGGAGGCAGCATCTGCTCCTCGCCAGCCCCCACCCCGTTCGGGTGCCGTTTCCCACCTTCTTTTCCACTGAGAAAGAACTTGAGGGATTTAAAAAACTTTGTAACAGAAACTGCACAACCAGAAACTGCACTGTCTGGTAGGTGGACAGCAATGTCCGGTGCCTGCCGTCCACGGCGGCCCTGAGAACCCGTCAAGGGCTCTGCCCTGACTCTGCTACATCTGCCTGCCCACAGTTCTCCAGGCAACCAACAGCCAGTGATGGTGCTTGGATCTTGAGATGAAACTGACTTGCGAAGTCCGCGGCCACTGCAGCCCAGCGAGGGGAAGAGGATGGACCCAGGGTGTGTGGCTCCTGAGGGCCGGGCTGACACTCAGGCTGGGGTCTGCAGACTCCACGGCTTGGGTCACTCTCTCGGGAGACCCCACCCTCTCTAGCTCCCGTCACTCCCATACACCCAGCTGCCTGGTCTCAGAGCACACTGGGAATCACTGTGGTTATTACCGGCAAGAAGATGGGAACAGGGATGTCTGCTCTGCTCAGGCTTTTTCAAAACCCTGCAGATTCTGTCTGCTCAGAGGCTGCAGTGGCTCAGGTTACTCAGCTCTGACTAAGCCTTCTTGAGCTGAGTGGCTGGGGACGGAGCTTCTGCTGACAGCTCACCCAGGAGCTCCTCTGCAACAAGACATGCCTGCAGCGAGTGACGTCCCGCTGCCCTCTTATCAGACACACGTCTATGTGATCACAAGCCCCTGCCTAGAAAAGACGCTCACCCACGGGGCGCAATGGTCTACAAAGCTGGAAATGAAGGTCTGCTTGATTCAGTACAGGAGGAGGCATGCCAAATGTTGACAGCATCGAGCCCTTTTCCTTAGTTGTAAGGCCCTCAGGTCTTTCCAAGGGCGCACTATTAGCGTTTAATCACAGCCTCCATGCTGGCCAAGCATTGGTTGGCTTCCGGGCTCCGCTCGGAAGCTCTCCCTGCAGCTTCTCTAAAGAGCTGGGGCAATGGTGGGTCTCAGACTAAAGGCGATAGCTTTGCAAACCGCAAGCACACCCGCCAGCTCAGTCCAGCGGGAGCCCTGGGGGAGGGCAGATGCACTCACAGCAGCTTACATGTGAACCGCACAGAGCTGGGCAGCGCCTATCCCACGCAGAGCTCATTTTTAAGCGGCAAGGTTATAATTTCTAGCCTTAACGTTGTCCATCTTGATTTTCTCCTGTCAGTTCCTTCTCGTCCACTATACTGACCACATAGGTACAAGGTGAAAGAAAAGAAACCCACCTGAAATCTAGGTCAGGCCACTGAGTGTGGGAGAGAAGCGGAGGGCAGTGCCCAGCAGAGCGGGGCAACCACAGCTCCACAGCTGAGCGAGGGGAGCCCTGGCACTCCAGGCTTCTGGGGAGCAGCCCTCCGGTGCCTGCAGCTGCCTGACATGGAAGCAAGCACCCAGGCCAGCGTCGGGTTCACTCTGCATCCTGGCTGGGCACTTCTGGGGTGGGTGACCTTGGTTCAGCCCCTCCACTTCTCGGGACAAGTTTCCTTCCCAGTAAAATGGCTACAGTCACCCTGAGCTCCAAAATCCATGAACCCTTGCGTTCCCTTAGGTTGAGAACTTTAACTCAGTTTTGCTGGAACCGCGGCATTCCAATCAACACACAACCGCCTCCCGACAGACATGACCCAAACGCAACAGAAACCGCAGTAAAGGAGGAATGATATAACATACTGTTATTATTTTTATAAACACGCTTTAAATCAAACTAGGCCATAAATCACCTTGGTTTCAGAGAAAGCCAAAATACTGACACCATCTTTTATTTTCCTATTAAAGTCAAGAATGTGTTAATCCAAATTAACTGAAAAGGAATTGAAGCTCATTTCCTAAGACACGTCTATTCATAAGTCAAACAGCATTACCTAACTCCTAGAATGAGGCAATTTCTGGGCTTAGAGATCGGCCTAGTGCAATTCACTCCTTTGATGGAAAATCAAACCCCAGGCAGTCGACAGGCCAAGGTCACAGAGGCAAAGTAGGGATGGGAACCAGCCTCCCTGAACCTGTTTCCCACAAAGGGCGAGGCTCTGGGCCCACACGCAGGCAGGCCGAGCTCAGTATCTGATGGTGAATGAATGTAGCGAAGTGGAGCTCCCCACAGGGCACGGCTCTTGTAACTGCTTCACAAATAAGCGATTTCCAGGTTATGGAGACATCCTAGTACAGAATTAAACGCTTCCAACTCAGACTTTTAACTCCTCAGAAGCCAGAGTGGTTTCTCAGCCCTGGCTACATCAGCTAACAATCTCGCCAAGCAAGGCACCAAGGGGCAAAGAGATCACCTCCAGAACTCGAGTGTTCCTTCTGCTGACAGAGGAGCAGCCCGCCTGCGGCCTTGTTCTGTGTTTACATCAACCACCCAATTCACCCATGTCACAGACCTTCAAAATGCGGGCTTAGGGACAAGGCAAGGTCTCCAACATCAACAGACGGCTGCAGCGCCCTAAGAACACCAAAGATTCCTTTTCTAGGTGGGTTTAGAATGGCAGCCAACAGAGGTAGCACTTGGGGTCGGGAAACGGTTTTGACTGAACACACGCACGAAAGCAAAGGGAATTGGCATGCAGAGGTGGGTGGGGAGGGGAGAGTGAGGCCTGGCTTTGAAGCTGAGCTCCCGGGGATGATGCCAGGCACATCGGGTTTGGGGCTGAGCGTTCAGGGCTGGGGGCCCGGAGGAGGGGGCCAGGGCCCAGGCCTGGGCGGAAAAGGGGGTCCCCGGGGATCGGGGTGGGGTCCCGGGGCAGGCGGGGGGTGCTCTAGGGAGGTGTCTCACGGCGGGCACAGGGGGTGGGGAAGTCCCGGGGAGGGGGATGGGGGTCCAGGCGGGTCTCGGGGCGGGGTCTGGGGGTCCGGGGCGCCGGGGCGAGGTCTGAGGTCGGGACAGGTGTGGGTCCCGGACCCGGGGCTGGCTGGGGGTCCGGGACGGGGATGCGGGCGGGTCCCGCGGCCCACGCACCTCCTCCGCCTGCCTGCGCAGCGCCTTCTCGCGCTCGTACTGGGTGAGCAGCTGCTCGTTGTCCTCGCGCAGCAGCTCCAGCTCCACCTCGTGCTCCTGGTTCTCGCTGAGCACCGAGTCTAGGTTCTCCAGCACGTTCACCACCAGCGGCATGAGCTCCTTGACCACCTCCTCGTCGTAGCAGTGGATGAGGCGCTCGAACTCGCGGTAGATGGAGCCCGCCAGGCCCGACACCCGCTCCGACATCACAGAGCCGGAGCAGTAGTCGTCCTGGTACACCACCACGCCGCCGCCCTCGTCCATCTGGATCTCCATCATCGCGGCCACCGCCGCCGCCAGCGCGGCTCGCTATCTGGCCGGCGCGCCCGGCCCTCCCCGGCTGCCTCAGGTCCCGCAGGCCGCGGCCCGTCGCCTCCCGCAGCTGCTGTCGCCTCAGGGCTCAGTCGCCGCCGCTGCTGCCGAGGAAGCGCCCGTCACTCATTCG